ACATGGTTACTGATAGGTCCTTTGGATCTATTTCATTCATTTATTATTTATTTTTTTTTTTGAAACTGTTTTTTACAAAGTGTTTCAGACAGCCCATGTCTCCCGGAAGTTCCGAGAGTCTCCCTGATATCGATAGTTGTTCACGGATGCCCGCAAGTCGGATAAATGATCCTGGATTTTAGACAATGCGAGGTGGTGTTTTCTTAATACGAGTAAGAGTGAGCAGGCAATACAATAATTCGTGCACCATGTGTGGATCCTGGTTTTCACCTGCTAAATGTGTTTTTCAAAACAAATTGAGAAAAATACTCTATGCTCATGAAGATTCTCAGTCATCCAGGTCATATTCATTCGGTAAAAGTTGAAAAACAATCCACTGCAGTTGGTTTCCAAGGTTTGAAGACGTTTTGCTTGGCAGCAAAACGTCTTCAAACTTTGGAAACCAAGTCCAGTGGATTGTTTTTAAACTTTTATGGAAAAATTACTCTAATTTTTACAGCTGATTTTATTAGTATTCTTTGGTTCTGATTCTGATTTTATAGAAAAAGGTTATTTTAACTTAAATTTGGTCAAAAATATGTAACATTCATAAATTCTGATTTTATATTGACCTAATAAGACTCAACCATTTGAATAAAAATTTCACTTCAATGAAGCTATCTTAATATATTTGAATCCCTTGCCCTGTTTTTTATGTCACGCTTTTCTGTTCTCCCATGAAAACACACTGGCCCCCTCCTAGCCCCCTGGTACATTTTGGTCTAGAACCACCACTGGCTATAGAAAAAGCAGCAAATTATAGGTCTGACCTAATAGTGATTTGTGATTTAAAGCCTGATAAGTATAGTGAAGAGATCCGTTTTTTTCTATTGTAAAGGACTTTGCATAACTTATGGTGATGCTGCCCAGTCGTAGGGCCTTGTAAAATGTTTTACAATGTAAAAAGTTGTAAAACATTTTACAAGGCCATATGTATTAACCAGAAGTTACTTTAATTTCATCAAAAGTCTCTATAGTGTGCTTCCTTTGAAATACAAAAACCGGATCACTGCTCAACAGAGGCATAGCCAGAAATTTTTTATAAGGGTGGCCAGGTAATACCCAATGTGTACAGAGGGTCGGCCAAAAGTGGATAGGCACCAAAACCTCATGGTCAATCTACACTGTTCCAACAAGAAAATTAACAAGCGAAACATCCATATTTTCTAAGTTAAGACTAACTATACTTTCCCACAGCCTTTGCTAACAAATAGATGCATATATTTTAACATTCGTAATTTCTAGATAAAAGGTGTAGTGGATAAGTCTCAGTTTTGAGTTCTGGGCCATAAATCAATCATCATTGCCATTACTTACTTACTTGTATCAATAAACATCCTGCATAAAATTGATATTTACAACTACCAATATCCACATTACGTTTTTATTAAAGTTGTTATTTATTTATCCTTTCACTGATGACTCCTAGATGACTTGCCGAGACACATATTTTTCTCTTTACCCCATAAAACTCAAAATCTAGTTCTGAAAAGAGAAAGAATTCTGTACTTATCATCTATGATATTAGTATATTGATGTCTATAATCACAAAAATTTAAATGTTTTGAATATTCAACTTAAGAGTATTACTGCTGCCACCATCTGTATGAGAGGGGAAAATGGTATTGGTGGCCACAGTGGGGGCCAATGATTGGCTAAGGGTGGCCATGGCCACCCCTGGCCCCCCATCTGCTCCGCCCCTGCTGCTCGACACTGAAAAGGCTCCGTTTCAGACTTGACTCAGTTCAAACGCCTGTAAATCTCAAACAACAAATAGTTCAGAGCTGTAATTTGACACTTGATCTATAGAGATATGAATAATTGCACATGCAAAATTTAGATCAGATCGACCAACTGGAAGTCGGTCAGGGACATTACTTATTGAACGCCCCTCTTGAAGCACCCATGAGCTTTTTAATGATTGCTTATTTTTTCTTCCCTAATTCTGCAACTACATATAGGATAGGTAATTCAAGAGGAAATACCGATTGCAAAAGTTGACAAGGTCTTATCTGATTTGACAACCAAAAGTTAATGATCTGCTATTGAATCCAAAGTTCAGAAAACCTGAGTTTTAACCCCTCTGGGAAAAAAATAAAATAAAAAAAATAAAAAACAAGCAAACATCTGAACCAGTTTTCACAAAAAAAAAAAAAACCTTCAAAACATTCCACCATGAAGTGCATAGACTGATACCGCCTGAATGAGAATAAGGAGAAAACAGCATTATGTATACTCTGTGCTGCATCAAGGAGAAATATGTGCAGTATTGCATCACAAACTGTTATCTACAATTTGTGAGAAGAACCGTCTCCAGAGAGGTCAAATTAAAAATAAACCTCCCAGAAAAGCTGTTAGTATGGTTCCAAACAAAACTGCTTTTCCCTGTCTTTTAGAAAATAAACAAATATATAAATAGCATTTGGAGCTCAATTATTTTTAGGTATTTCTATAAGGAAATGTTGAAAGTTTAACATTCTGAAAAAGTTTTTACTCACAATGAATCCATTTTTTTTTTTTAGAGATTTAGCTACTTTAATATGAGATATTATTTTAATACTTTTTACAATATATATATATTTTGCAAATAAATTTGTTAATGGGGATTATTTAACATAAAATGTATTTCTGCAAAAATTCTGGTAGTTAATGGCATGGCTTGTGATAAGCAAATTGATCTATGTTCTCTGACAGAAACTTGGCTGCAACAAGAGGATCATCTGAGCATAAATGAGGCAATTTCCTCGATTTATTTAAATTTCACATACCCAGAAATTCTAGGAGAGTAGGGGGAACAGCATCAATCTTTCAATCTGACTTACTGATTACTCTAAAGCCAGATAATAATTACAACTCTTCTGAACTTTTAAAGCTTAGTTTCCCTCATCCAAATTCCAAAGCAACAAACCTCTTCTAACAATATTTTCTCACAATGCTGTCCTCTCTGACCACTTTATAATAACCTTCAAAATTACTTTAACAGAGTTCTCCTCACACAAAAGGTTTCACTTTAGAAGATCATTATCAGATAATACATTTATATATTTTTAAAGAATTTGCTCCACTTCTTATCTCCTCTGTATCACTGAAAAATACATCAGAGGCCATTTAATTTATCTATTTATGATTTTGTTGATGGGGCTACCAGTTTCCTGCATACTGCCCTGGACAATGGGGTAAATAGTATCTATCTATCTATCTATCTATCT